TTCGAATGAGCAAAAAAAATCGAAAAAAAAAATTTTATCGAGTGCCTTGTATTCTCGATGCTGTCGTGGACCCTCTCTTAAGCATGCTACAATGTGGCTTAGAAAGTTGACGGCTTTGCTTTTTCACATTTTGTAGTAAATCTTTCTATTTTCAATTTTTTTTAACATGAAGCATTCAATAGTTTTGCAGCAAGTTTTATCGCAGTCTTTCCTTGACAATACAGAAAAATTGTTAAGATTATACATAAAATAATTTCTTATAAGAAGTAGCCCATTTCTTCTGGGCCATCCCAGCTCAACGATGCCCCGCCGTAAATGGCCCTATGTGGCCAAACACGGCGGAAAACGGCAGCCATATACGGTAACTGTGTACAGCGATCGTAAACGATGCTTTACGGTCTATTACGTCCATCGTAAACGACTACCGTAAACTCTCATCGTTTACGACTCTCGTAAAAATACGGCGTCTGTAAACGCCTGTCGGACAAAGTCGTAAGTCATCGTATACGTCAGCTGTAAACGGTTCAATGAACGTTCACTGTTTTCTGTCGTACTTCACTATGACCGATCGTTTACGTTAAGCATCTCTCAATCAGAATGAGCATTAGCATCAAACAATTCTAATGCTACTGAGTGTTCGTTGGCATTACCCGTCAAGGAAAACACCATTTCCCAACCACTAAAAAACTAGTCAATGGAACGTGTTAGACCTAACATTATATTATTTTCAATTCGAATACATGTACTTCTTTAGGTTTTAACAGTTTACTTAAACCAAATTCCTGCAGCAGCCTAGCTAATGGGAATAGCGTCCCTGTTGATGCCTATTTCTATCCAGATAATGATATTAGCATTTCGAGCAAGGCTCTAGAAGTTACATATAGAAGTTGGGCAGTTTGGCAAAAGTTCCGATCTGTTAAACTATTCAAGACAATGATCTGATCAGACGTATTCAAAAAGTTCAGCTAGGCAGAAATGTGCCTAGAGTATTTCTAATCTGTGTTGAGCTGTTGATACAGTTCAGCACAGATTAGAGAACTGATCGTCTCCACCATTCATAAGAGACCTATAACTTTTCCTTTCCAATCTATGGGTACCCAAAAGTCTCAAGGGCTATTCTTGGCGGTACGTATAATGAATGGTCGAGATCCTGAACCAATAGATACTCGAGCGACTCAAAAAGGGAACTGTAGGAACATCTTTCTTTTGTTTCCGGATTAACTTTGATCCCTTTCAAAGTAATTGTTCGATGCCGATCCCGCTTATTTTCCAAATTTAATTATTAGTCCCTGTCCCACTTCTGGTTAAAATTTTGTTTTAACTTCTGATGTCAAATTTTCCCTAGAAACATGCAATTTCTGGTAAGATTAAGCCTAAAATTTAAGATTGGTGCTCGTACTCCCTAGTAGTCATAAAATTGCTTTTTGCAACATAGAGAAATGACATAATAAAATTTAAGAGCTCGTCCTAAAATACAAGTAGGCAAGCAAGAATAAAAAAATTACAATCAAAGGAATGGTTAAATTCTAAATGAACTAACTTTATGTGTATTGTACGAATACGTGTATATAAAAATCTATACAAGCGACCAACAACCACGGTTTTCCAAATTAGAATAGAAATCAGTAAAAGATTTTTATCGGAATATCAAATAAAAATGCCTGATTTGCAAATGCTTATTCACAAACGAATAACGAGCATGGATATCTGTAGCGTAGCTCTTAATACAAAAGCTCTCCACGACCAGCTTGAAAAGTTCTCTGTCCAGTTTCCACTGCTGCGAAAAATAAAAATGTTGATCCCAATTCCAGTTCTGCAGAAATGCGACCGGGACTACTCTGTTCTCTTGCAAATCGAAACTCCTATCAGCAAAGACAAAAAACTTTTGATAACCCATACAAGCCAACCATCTTAAATACGTTGAAAGCTCTCTTTCATACTTCATTCAAATTATGGACAAGATGCCCGCCAATAAATACACTAGCATTCAGTCATTTCAACGAAAACACCAGCCATGGTATTCCAAAAAAATTACAGCGACTTTCAATTAATGAAATCGCAAAACTTCTTATCCCCTGAAAAATACCTAATAACATCAACAAAACACCTCAACTCGAACGCGATCCGTCTCCACCACAACATTCTTGCAACGAGACACAAACGTATTTTCACCCATTGCTGAACGACAAACACCTTCAATCCGCTTATATACTATATAGCTCCTCAAAGCTGCACCTTCTCATCCACGCATCAATGGAAAAACACTCACGTCCACAGATATTTCCTAGGAAGCACACCGGAATCGCAAGCCGTCGACTGGAGAAAGAATCATCAAAAAGTCAACGAGAGTATCCACCATTATACCTAGGAAAGCCACAGCAGACAACAATTATCTAAGAAGGCGTATTTTTGAGAGTAATCGACACAGCCCATCAAGGAAACTAAAGAATTAATGCAACACTGCTTTCAACAGCATGAGAAACTTTGACGAGAATATCGAAGAACTGATGAAACTCTGAGACGACCACAAGCCAAACACATTAGTGACTAACCTGAACAAACGCCATAAACACCTTCAGCAGCTATTGACGTCACTACAACACAGTCCTTCAGTAGTTGATGGGATCACCCCTACAAACGCTTTCAACACTCCCAGCGATAACAACTACTGACGCCAGGAAGAGATATACATACTACCGCAGAAAAACCAACAACAGAATTGGATAGCAACTATGATAGCAGTTACACAACCATGTGTCTCCTGGATAACCTTTGAAGAGTTTGAGATGCCTCTCTACAATAGCCCTTGAAGAGTTATGGGTACCGCCACAGAACAGATCTTGAAATCTTATGGATACCTCCCTAGAAAAACTCTTGAAGAGTTACGGATACCCACATAGGATGGACCATGACAAGTTACACATACCCCCATATAATAGCCCTTGCAAAGTTATACATATCCCCTAGGTTAGACCTTGAAGTGTAATGCGTACCATTAGGATAGCCCTCGAAGGGTTGTAGATACTGCCCTAGCAAATCCTTTGAAGGGTTGTGAATATTCCCTAGGATAGCCTTTGACAAGTTATGGGTTGGCCCATGATAGCCCTTCAGGAGTTATGGACACCCCTTAGAAAAGACCATGAAGTGCAATAAGTACCGCCCTAGGAAAGACCTTGAAGTGAAATGAGTACCACCATAGGAAAGACCTTGAAAATTTACGGATACTACCTGAGACAGTTCTTGAACAGTTTTGGGTAACCCCTAGAAGAGACCTTGAAGTGTAATGAGTACCTCCTAGGATAGCCATTGAAGAGTTACGGGTACCCTCCTAGGATAGACTGAGAAAAGTTAGGCATTTCCTCCCTAGCATAGCACTTAAAGAGTTATAGATATCATCACCTGAGATGGCCCTTGAAGAGTTACGGGTATCCTACAAGCACATGGCTTGAAGCGTAATGAGTACCTCCCCCCCCCCCCCCTCTCCCCAGGAAAGTCCTCAAAGGATTATTGAAGTACAATGAGTACCGCCCTAGGAAAGACCTTGAAGAGTTGTGAATACTCCCCTAGGATAGACCTTGAAAATTTATGCATACCTCCAACTGTAGCGCTTCAAGAGTCATCAGTACCTTGCTATGATAAGCTTTGAAGAGTTATTGGTTTTTGTAGCATAGGTCATTTAAAGGTAGAGGAATTGTGAACGCTTAGTAACATATTCCTCATGGAATAGAATAAGTGATAATTCTTAAATGAAACACGTTTTGTATGCTTAAAATTTCTTGAACTGCAATTAAGTGACACGTCAAACACAGCCGACAGACTATTCATAATCGGACGGACCTCACCCGATATATATATATGGCTGTCACTACATGGTTCAGTTTATTTCAATTCCAACCCAGATTCGAGTAGGTAGCCTTGTGCATATTCTAAAAACCATTCGACACCCATCGACTGCTGCAGGTATTATATACGCATCCATGACTGACAATACGTTATTATCCCGGTATAGAAACACTTACACGTGTGACCCCACACCTAGACAGGTGAAAATTTTTTCACCTGGTGCTATAAATACCATAATAATGTCTTTTTTGGAAAAAATGCCTTTCAAGACCTTTCTTTTTAACGTTGTAAATAACGTGATATCAGCATCCAAATGTATGGAATTTTATAGAAAAAGGCATTTTTAAGCCTTTTTATAGGTAACCACGTTGTTTCATATGATTTCACCAGAGAAATCAGAGCTCTTTTCAACTTTCTCAATGACATGATTTCTTATAGAAAAAGGCATTTAAAGGCCCTTTTATAGCTAACCGAGCTGTTTTACACGGTTTCAACGGAGAAATCAGAGTTTTTTCTGAAAAAAGCCTTCAAACACCTGTAAAGGTGTTTAAAGGCGTTTTTGATGCATGTAACTACAGCTGCCTCTTGGTGTATTGAAACGGCTTTAGTAGAATATTCTGTGGGAACGCTTGTTTCACTGTAAGCGTGTTTGTGTGAGATGATTTATGTGGCTAGAAATGCGTTCCTTTCGAAAAAGGCCTATAAAGTCGTTTTTTGTGAAAAAGGCCTGTAAAGGAGCTTTTTTTTTATGCATCGTCTTTTTCATTTGTCGGTTAGATTTAACGGCGCAGTAAAGGAGGTTGGCGATAAAAAGGAGTCCTACAGTGTTGATGGATGCGATTTTATTTATGTGACACTGATCACGACGCTTCACCGTGATATACAACGGTAAACATCGGCGTATCCGATCGTATCCGCTTAAGGACAGTCGTATTATACCACAGGTTTCGGTGTACACAACGGGTGTGTTTTGCCGTATACGTCACGGCGATATACGGCCATAATACGGTCGCTACCAAATGGGTGAAACATGGCCCGTTTACGGTCGTAATTTCAGCATTTACGGCCGTTTACGATGATATTAACGGTAGTTTACGGTGGTCGTAATCACCGACCTGGATGCGTGTGGGTGTGGGAGTGTTTGTTGATTCCTTATTCACCAACAGCCACACCCACACCCACACCCATACACTCACACCCAACTGTTTATGACCTTAATAATCTTGCATATTTAATAGTTTAATGTGAACTAAACACTTTTCTCTACCGACAAATAGGTGGGACAAATATGACTCATCCGACCTCAAAGGGTGAAACTATGAATTATTTCATTGATTGACATATTGCATACTATAGGGCCCCCCCCCCCCTCAGAAAATCGATTTTTTCGAAACAATATCGAAATTGAGTTTTTACTATAGGAAGATAGAGCGAACCTTCCTCTTTCAGAATATATATAGATTTTTGGAAAATGATCGGTTTTTCAAGGACTCGTCAGATCAGACTTTAACTTCCCTCCCATATTTTCCAAGAAATTTTCGTAGTTTTTTAGAGTTTTTCAGTTTTGGAAAAACCCCGTTGCTACTTCAAATATCATTGAAAAAAACATTTTAATATTAACCCGCGTGTAAAATGGCGTTAGTTTTACTGCATCTTTTACGCGTCTTAAAATAGTTTTAGAAAATTTATTGAAAATATGCCGTTTTAATATGAATTTTTTGAATTTAACCGAAGAAAACCACTTCTAAAACTTCTTTAAGGCTTTTCTGAGAATATGATTTCCAATCAGAAAAATTGGATCTCCTCCCTCATTTTTCGAGCTATTGCCAATATTTTTTTTTTTGTTTTAAAGGTCTCGATCAGAGTAAGCTTTTGTCCGAATGGATTTTTGCAAGTTGGTTCCTAGGTTGAGAAAAGTGGAATTTACTGTCGTTGGACTACCATTTTTTATGCTAATTTTAAGACCCTCGCACTAAAATGCTCGTAAAAACTCAATAGGACGGAATATGAAAATTCCGTTCAGATAAAAGTTGCATACTCACACGTACTTTAATTTGAAACCAGCCCGAGTTCTCTATCTCTTCTTATGATGGAGTTATTCCAATTTTCCTGAAGGCCAAAAATGACCCATGAATCAGCTGGAAGTCCTGTCTAGTATGACCAATCGAGCTGAAATTTTTACCAGAAGCGTATCTCTCCAAGATCAGTCATCCCTGAAAATTTCAGGTTGAAAGGACCGTCAAAAGTGGAAACTCATTTCTCAGGGGTGGGGGCCCGCTTTAGCACCACTTTATATTTCAAAGAAAATAAAATCAATGATAGAAACCATGATATAATTTTAATCACTCTAAGGTAGGCCCTAATTATATACATCACACATAACATAGTTTCTAAGATGATTTACAAATACAGCAAGTTAACCGTCTCATAGTTGACTAAGTGGAGTTTTTTTACGTTCATTCTTATTGTGGATACAAATGATGCTTAAAAACTGTTTTCCATTGCAGGGTGCACAATCGTCGATTAATGTTTACAAAGGTGATCTGATAATGCAACAAGTAAGCTATTTGCACAAGCTTTCTATCTGTAGTGAACACATTTTCTCATGATTTCAGACAGATGTTATTGCTGTATGTTCTTCCTCAGAATATTTATTTAAAGCTATTTGTAAAGCTGGTGGAGACACTATCAGAACTTCTTTCGATTCACAGTCGAAAAAAAACCCGAGATATTCTGTCATCTCTGTTAAAGCTGAGGGCCAGCTCCAATCAAAAATGATTTACTTTCTTCCATGGAAAACGAATTCTGATGCATCTCTACTTCGAGAGTCTATTGAAAAATTCGTTTCTGATGCAATAGAAAGAGCAGTGTCAGAAAACTACAAAAGCATTGCATTTCCTGCTGTTGGTTGCGGTCAGTTTGGATGTTCAATTAGTCTTGTCGCTCAAGCGATGGTTCAGGAAGCGCATCGAAAGTTACAGGAATATTCAATTTCAGTTTCTTTTATCATAGAAACAAAAAGGACAGATATTTACGATGAGTTTCAAAAGCAAATTAATGCTTTACGGCCATCACCACCACTGCGATCATCACTCTCATCCTCACCCGAAGATTCAATTATACTACCACGACGAGGACGCTCCTTCTCAGCACGAGAACACTCGTTCTCGGTACAACGACGACCTCGATCC